TCTTAGTCAAATGCGTTCTTCATTTTGAGTTTTAACGTTTGTGAGTCTCGACGAAATTCGGTTGTGTCCATATTGTGTAGATTTGAATATATATATATGCTTTATTTCAAGGGTTGTCAAATTTATTTTCTATTTCAGTCCTATTTTTCCCAAATTTTTATTTGCTACAAGAACTTCAAGGGGCAAAATGTAATAAATGTAAAAATGTGCAATGTTTACAATAAAACCCTTAGCTAGTTTGTAACCAACAAACATGATCTACCTCCGTAGTGAGAGCATAATAAATCCTATTACACAAATCCTAAAGCTCGGAAATGCCCGCGGTGACAGATTTTACCACCAAATAAATACTTGATTGTAGCGTGTATAAAACCAAAATAAGTTCTTTGCCAGCGCTGATTCCTCTCGCTACTAGTTTTGTTTTTCTTGGTGGGTTGAATCAAATTTTTGACGTTAAATTCCTTGATTGCTGATTTACCCTGTTCACCCCCAGGGGTTAAGTAATTTTATCTTATAGACTGAGAACCCCAATTTTTGTTTCATAACTAATCCACAAGATGGATTGGAAAAATTGAATTGCAAATCAGTAGTTACTCATTACCCAAGCATACAATATTCTTCAAACGAAACTCTATAGCAGTTGTTCCCTCTAAACTTTTCCAAGCCGCGCCCTTTTTTTAGAATTTGTCAAGTTCGCGCACCCACCCCAAAAATAACTTGCTAACAAGCTACAAATAACGGATTAGTTGAACGAAAGTATGCTTTATTCAAAAACTTGTTTAAATACGTAAAGGAAAAGTGAATATTCAAAATAAAGAAATGTGAATATTCAAAAAATAAGGGCGGGAAAGATCAATCTTAACAAATATTTTATATTTTTAATTAGCTAAACGCAACCTAAAAAATTGTCTACGTCCCCCCTTGTGCGCGATCGCCACTGCTCTTTACAATCAGCAACTATTCTTATTGGAACGACCCGATATCTAACTTTATTTTATCTTGCAGGTTCTGTCCGGATTGCGGAACAAGTGGATTGATGCGACAACATATCTCACAAATCATCTGTCTGTTCAATTTAAGTATTTTTATAATTGCGCATTGTTTCAGCTAGAATATTCTCTAATATTGTTTTATGGTCCATTATAGCTGTGAAGTCGGTATGTCGTTTTATTTAAATAATTATGACGTGAAATGAGCCACGTAGCACTATTGAAAGTTTTGCATTGATTGTGAAAACTAAATTATTATTATATATGAAGTAACATTGATCTTTTTACGACAAATTATTCAACGAATATAATGACTCTGAATCACAATCAATATATAATTCTAATTTTTCTTGATGTTGAATTTCTTTTCAGCGTGTGATACTAAGAAATGTCCGCCTGGAATTGTTTGTATTGACTGAAAGTGTCAATGTCGTAGAAGATGTCCCCCGAACGAACATTGCCCCAATGGGATATGCGAATGTCTACCAGGACATTACAGAAAAAAGGGGGTTTGCGTGCCATGTAAGTGACTTTTATACTCTTCACGAAAACCAAACGCGCTGGTTATAATTATATCATCAAAACGCTGATAAACTAAAACAGTTTTACAAAAACCTCCAGCAGGCATATCAGAGTTATAGCAGAGCATAATAGACCTGGATATTTGGGTCGTTTTGGGGTCTAAGTTATAATTGGGGTAAAACAATTATAAATTAGAAGTAACATGCCAAATGAAAAACGATAAAGGCTTTTTAATCCATGTTTTTAAAATTAATAAATTCAGTTGAATAATACAGCATGAAATTGAATATCACAGATATATATGTTCATGATTTTTTCTGAATTTTCAGATAAAACCTGCCCAATATATTGCCCGCCTAACAGTATCTGTGAAAACGGAAGATGTGTATGTGAAAAGGGGTATGAGTGGAAAGGAAGCAAATGTGTCAGTGAGTAAAAGAGTAATTTATTTTAAGTATCAATATATCAACAGTTGTTAGTTTTAACTCTACGAAGAAGGCCAAACTTCGATATGACAGCGGTCCTTACATTTTATTACAATACATGTACTAAAGTTATATTATACATCATGTTTCAAATAGAAAATACACGAAGCAAATGGACGTAAAATATGCTGAACTGACTCAAGAATTTGAAAAAAAAAAAAATAAATACAGAAAACACTGGACTACAAATAAAAAGCTAATATGTGTCTAAAACTCTAAATTACCGAAAGCTTCACGTTTGAATCGACTTATGAAGTGTTACTTTCTGTTTTGAGTTGATAAATAATGTTGAAAATATCGTTAGCTAAAAATTCATGTAACAGAAAAAAATATCATGGTCGTTTTTCGTTTCCTGTTCAGAAAAATGTAGAAAGCAAATATGTGGTGATCACGGAGAATGCAGGAATGGAAAATGCGTTTGTTTTAAAGGATATGAACTTGAATAAGAGCGGAAAATGTGTCGGTATGTTGTGAATTTAGACGCTATCATGAATATACTTGCCAAACCAATGGATATCAATTACATAAAGACAAGATTGTCTTGTTCGATAATCCACATCCGCATGATATATGATTTTTGTTCTTGAGAGTATTCGAATTTCATATTATTTTATATATTCTACTAAATATATACAAACACTTTGCGCGATTGATTTATTTCATTGTCCGGTTCGTATCCGTTCATATTATAGGAATATATGCAAGTTAGTGTGCGAGATATGACAATGAAATTTACTCAGAAGTTCGTTAGTCCAATTAGGATCAAAAATAGTTTCATATTCAAAAGTAAATTTCTCATTAGTTCTCTAATGTTAAATTAATATAATAGTGTTGTAATTTGATCTTTTTCACCTCTTCCCTTTTTCATAAAACACATAGACCAGGTAGTGTTTGAGATACTTTTTTGATATTATAGATATATGCCGTCGAATGCTTTGTAGACCAAACGAAATCTGCCACGCTGGAGAATGCCATCGTGAGTAAAAAATATTAGCTCTTACCACATCTATATTCCGAACGTATGAGCATTTTTTGTCGACTTTCAATACTGCGGTAGTAACCACTATAGGAAATTGTAATTTTTGAGTTATATTTATATAATAAACTTACATTATCTTTAAAAATAATATTCGTAGTCGTAGTCGTAGAAGATGTCCCCTGAACGAACATTGTCCCAATGGGATATGCGAATGTCTACCAGGACATTACAGAAAAAAGGGGGTTTGCGTGCCATGTAAGTGACTTTTATACTCTCCAGGAAAACCAAACGCGCTAGTTATAATTATAACATCAAAACGCTGATAAACTAAAACAGTTTTACAAAAACCTCCAGCAGGCATAACAGATTTATAGCAGAGCATAATAGACCTGGATATTTGGGTCGTTTTGGGGTCTAAGTTAGAATTAGGGTAAAACAATTAGAAATTAGAAGTAACATGCCAAATGAAAAACGATAAAGGCTTTTTAATCCATGTTTTCAAAATTAATAAATTCAGTTGAATAATACAGCATGAAATTGAATATCACAGATATATACGTTCATGATTTTTTCTGAATTTTCAGATAAAACCTGCCCAATATATTGCCCGCCTAACAGTATCTGTAAAAACGGAAGATGTGTGTGTGAAAAGGGGTATGAGTGGAAAGGAAGCAAATGTGTCGGTGAGTAAAAGAGTAATTTATTTTAAGTATCAATATATCAACAGTTGTCAGTTTTAACTCTATGAAGAAAGCCAAACTTCGATACGACAGCGGTTCTTACCTTTTTATTACAATACATGTACTAAAGTTATATTATACATCATGTTTCAAATAGAAAATACACGAAGCAAATGGACGTAAAATATGCTGAACTGACTCAAGAATTTGAAAAAAAAAAAAATACAGAAAACACTGGACTACAAATAAAAAGCTATTATGTGTCTAAAACTCTAAATTACCGAAAGCTTCACGTTTGAATCGACTTATGAAGTGTTACTTTCTGTTTTGAGTTGATTAATAATGTTGAAAATATTGTTAGCTAAAAATTCATGTAACAGAAAAAAATATTATGGTCGTTTTTCGTTTCCCGTTTCAAGAAAAATGTAGAAAGCAAATATGTCGGTGATCACGGAGAATGCAGGAATGGAAAAATGCGTTTGTTTTAAAGGATATGAACTTGATAAGAGCGGAAATGTGTCGGTATGTGTGAATTTAGACGCTATCATGAATATAACTTGCCAAACCAATGGATATTCAATAACATAAAGACTAGATTGTCTTGTTCGATAATCCACATCCGCATAATATATGATTTTTGTTCTTGAGAGTATTCGAATTACATATTATTTTATATATTCCTACTAAATATAACAAACACTTTGGCGCGATTGATTTATTTCATTGTCCGGTTCGTATCCCTTCATATTATAAGGAATATATGCAAGTTAGTGTGCGAGATATGGACAAATGAAATTTACCTCAGAAGTTCGTTAGTCCAATTAGGAATCAAAAATAATTTCATATTCAAAAGTAAATTTCTCATTAGTTCTCTAATGTTTAAATTAATATAAAGTGTTGTAATTTGAATCTTTTTGACCTCTTCCCTTTTTCATAAAACACATTAGACCAGGTAGTGGTTTGAGATACTTTTTTGATTATTATAGATATATGCCGTCGAATGCTTTGTGGACCAAAACGAAATTTGCCCACGCTGGAGAATGCCGCCGTGAGTAAAAAATATTAGGCTCTTGCCACATCTATATCCGAACGTATGAGCAATTTTTTTCGAACTTTCAATACTGCGGTAGTGAACCACTATAAGAAGTTGTAATTTTTAAGTTATATTTTATATAATAAACTTACATTGTCAGTAAAAATATTATTTGATGTTTCATTTTCAGATTCGTTGTGCTCTTATATTTTGTGGGCCGGGTACAACATGCATAAATGGAAATGCGTTTGCAAAAATAAGAGGGCATTCACTGGTCGCAGCCATTGCATAAGTAGGTCATTTGCTTCATGAAAATACACAAATTTAAATTTAATTTTAATAAATTTCAAAATAAACTAATTTTCACTATTTCTGTATCTACTATATAATAACTACAAACCACTACCCCATACACATTTGGCTGAATTGAGAAAAATACATTCATATGTAAAATATTTTGAACTATTCAAATGAAAAGGGATCTCGAGTTGGTGCATTTCATGACCAGTTTCAATTAGCAAACATTCCTTCCGTTTTCCAATTCTTTGAAACGAAATAATCCCTTTTTTGGAATATCGAATAACCAATACCAATAATAAAACATCTAATTTTTTTTTCATTTGTTCTACAGAACAATGTCGCCCTCGTTGTAAACCAGGATGGAAATGCGTTTCAGGAGTATGTGTGTGCGTCGGAATCTATTGTCCGTACAGATAGATCCAACATTGACTAAGTTCGAATACTTGTTACACTATTGTGAAAGAATATGCTTTAATAATCGTGTCATATATCACAGAATTAAATCACCATATTTTCACCTAATACAATATATTCAGCATACAAATGTGTTTCAGGCTTTTTATTGTCGAGGAACAATTTAGTTAACAGAGTAAAAATATGAATCACAATTTTAGAAAATATTTTGGTTGACACCTGGCATATCTAAGAATAAATTCTACGAGAAATCATTCTACAACAATTTCCCAAGTGTAGGTCATTGGATTCAGGTCGAGACTTGAAACTTCGTGCTTTTTGTGAGGTTAATTCACCAGAAAAAACAAAATATTAAAAATGTTCCAGGCACAATCATTCAGACTCGTCCTTATCAGACTGTCGTAATGTTAGTTAGCAAAGTTTTTCCCATCGCGATTATCCATACTTAGATTTTTGCTTACGCTACTTAGGAAACTATAAGTAAAACTATAAAATCGGGCTAACTTTCCCGACGGCTAACCGTACAAAAAGTCGACTAGTGAGTATATTGACAGGATCAGTTTAAAAAAGTTTGTGGGATTAAATATAAACACAGGGAATGTTTGAAAATTTATGTATTACTGCTTTTCTGCATATATTTCAGATTTTCGTAATCAAGTAATTATGGCGTGTTTGCAGTGTTCACAATCATTGTACCAAAAATTGTGTTCGGAGCAGTCGTTAGTCTGGTAAGTGTGATGTTAATGACTCGGGCAGAGAGCAACGAGCCATAAAGGTTGGAACCACTGTCGTTAGATAATAGTGACTGTTTGTACCTGACCTTGCTCACAGCAAAGACCCGAGTAATTGTCTTTTCAAAGCATTTGGCTCTCCACAAAAAAAAACTTTGGGGTGGCTACGCTCTTGTTTCATCGAGCATATCATATTTTAATTCGACATCCACTTTCTTTCAAAACAAGAAAATATTTGTCTTTGTAGAGCGCAGGTGAACAATTTTCTTCGAAAGCAAATACCACCGACAGCATGTTAAATACAACAACGCCAATGCCTTTGACAATTTTTTGATACTTGGCTTTACAAAAGGCTTGGACAAGGACATTAGCAATGGTATTTGCCACAGAGAGAAAGAATGAGATAGACAAGAATTAAAAAAAAATGCATATACTAATTTTACCATGTATTACAGAATGACTTATTGAATAACACGTATATGTTCTGAACTGTTCATCTCTTATAATTACCGTATATTTTAGCATTACGGTATTCTTAGACTTGTACTATTTTGTCACACGGGAAGTTAGGATTGGCCAGTTTATTTTGATGAAACAATTTTTTCAGCATCCAATCACAATCGACATGGCACTTCAAATTCAGAATTAGTAATATTTTTTTTTAATTATTCCCTTTAGTCAATATCCAACACGACTAAATCAGCAAATTATCATCTCTTTTAACGGAATGCGTTCACTTTCTTTGTTGGCAAACCACATAATATTTGAATGCAGTAATTGTTTATTCGAATGAAACAAGTGTAGTACAAAAATATTTATAAAATGAAACACTTGAAAGCTTCACAGTGAAAAGTAAGGTAAAATGTCTCAAAAGAAATAACAATACACGACAGGGTCAATATCAATTGATGGTTACCCAAGGAGAAGTCGATACTTGTAAATCATTTGAGGCAAGTCTAGTCAAACTCAATTTTCGCTGAAATGTGTGAGACAGTTTAAATTGGCAAGTCAAAACATTTACGAAATGGGAAATTTGGTTTAATCTGATTAGGACACTTCCCAATGTTACAGTTCATGACTCGAATAAAGTTGAGCCATTTCACATTATCTAAGTCGAATCATTTTAAAATATACGTCGTTTCCACAAAATGTCGAAAAGTATGACTCGGGTTGACACATGCCAACCTATACACACGATATATATATATTCTGTGGAAAGATAATCTGAGCATAAACAATAGCAATACGTTTATACATGGAACGATAAATATCATAAAAGTGTGGTGGCATATTGGTAAACAGGTTAAAATAACACTTTTTATAAACACCTCAGTTTCGAAATCAGTCTACCGATAGCTACTGCCTCAACAATCAAGTAGATTGTGGTGAACACTGAAACATAAACCGAGTAGGCAGGCTTTCGCGTTACTTCAGTTGGAATCTCTTATTAAAAATCAAACCATCAAGGGTTAAACAATGTTACTGTTGTTTTGTCTAGTTCTTGAATGATGGAAAGTGTCAACTCCTTCTTTCATCTAGCCTTGAACAAACATGAACGAGTGGTTGAAGCGTTGCACATATATATAGAACTTAACTATATCGGCATCGCAGGTAATAGATCTCGGACGACCCAACCCATGGTCATAACCTTGTCCAGGTATGAAAAATTGGGAGGGAATGCCGAACCATCCCAAATAGTAGCCTTTTTGCGCACAAGTGGCTGCGTGTTGACCTTTGTTAGAGTGAAAGTGTGATAAACGCCTCATAAAGTTATGGATTGATCTACCAAAAATTCCATTAACTATAAGTGATCACAATCGGTTACTTAGTAGAATAAAACAAAGTGGCGAATATGTTACCCCCGATCGAGAGAAGGAAGTTAACCTTCAACACTATTTATCTAATTTTTTAAATCGCGTTACATATCACAGTAAATACCAAGCGAATCAGATATTTCAAAACCGTTCACAAAATGCTCGTTGAAATACCAAATTATAAATCAGTTCTAAATAACGTATAAAGAATCCGATTTGTTGGTTTTCCTTTATCCACCAAATTTAACGCGTTGTAAAACCAGGGTTGTCCATGAGAATGGAATTCCATGGAACGTCCCATGGGATGGGATGGGACAGCACACATTTGTATTTCCCATGGGGACAAGTGCGACACGAAAATTGTAAATAATTTCGGGAAATTGATTGGTAAATTATTTAGTGTTATATTGAGCATAGCTCTCTTGTTAGCTATAAAAAACAAAATATATTTAGCATTAACAATATACTTCGTGATGGGGCGGAATGGTCACATGGTATAATATTATGACTATAGAGTTAACAATTTCGTAAATTTTTGTTGTTTTGCATGGCTCTTCGTACATGTAGTCCTATTTAGTGGACGCTAAACCAAAATTTAACAATTTTTATTGAATTTTATTTCAATGGGAATTCTTATGGGATGGTTTAGGCATAATTTTTATGGGAATGGGGACAGAAAAATATGTCGATGGACAAGCCTGTGTAAAACTATTTCTAAATGTATATACTTGTTGCTCTGACAGTATTGAAGTGGGTTGCCACGAATCCCACATCAAGCGTCAGATCTGTCACAGCAATAAATCAAAACGTTGCCCTTAGCAAGTCCGTGGAGGTTGCGACTCGACCATCAGCCGGCATTTTGTGGCTTTTAAATGGTGGACACGCGACCTTGCTTCGAGCAGTCTTACATACAAAATACTATTACATTAGAGAGGCCAAATTACGTTGAACTACGAGATAAATTCTAACTGTACTAAAATATAATATATATAACAAAAAAAAAACGAATCCGTTACGATAAAAATTGTCTCGTTGGGTTTATCCTACATAAAATCATTCTGATTCAATTCGCTGCTGAACAATTGGGGTAAAATTGCTGCCGAATCTTCCTGTCGTTTGTTGCCGAATATGTTGACGACAGGATGCTCATATTGATGTCCAGTCGTTTATACCAGTGTTGGTTCGGAAAGAAAATCCTGCAATTTTAAAATAAAAACTCAATGTGTAAATTAGAAAATTTCTGATTGTCAAGGTGTAGCTCTGTCAAATGTAATGAACGTCAATAAGGAAGGATAATTTTGAAGAAAAATATTTTATGCTACAACTTGATTTGAAACATATTTTGGGGATTATAATTCCATGTTTTTGGACGGAATAGAAAAAACGTCAGTGGTAAATATAGCAAGATAAATACACCTTTATGTGATTCTTTATCAATAAGTTTAATAAGCGAATAAATTTAGTTTGCTTGGATCAGACAGAATTCACATAATAGCATATTACAACTAACCTGTATAAATTTATCGACGTCTTCAGGATCTTCCTTTGAAGATGACTTTGTTTTTGATTTATTTTTCTCGTCCTTAAACTGGAATTAAAATATTAAGAAATTGATATATTTCTGTTGCATTTGAACTTTATATTACTGAATTAATGGATTTCATGAATCGCCATTTCTTGTCAAACGCTGGGTTTACAATATTTTTGATGGAAGAAAAGACCGTAAATTTTAAGGTGTGAATGTTTTGGAGAATAAATTTAATCGAGTTAAAAATAGAAATAAACTCACTCTCTCTCTTCCATCAAACTTTTAGTGTTTCCAAAATTTCGTTTATTCATGTCATCGATTGGAGTTTCTGATTTTCATCATCTATTCTAAATATATTATAAATTACAAAATTTTTAATAAAATACGAATGTTACTTTAAATTAATCGACTTTGTTTCGCCATTATGCCCTGACAGGACCTAGACTAGACAAACAGTCTTCATTTAGATATGATCTATTAAGATTTCGATCAATAGAGCCTAGCATGCATCAAGAGAAGTCAATTTGAAGAAAAAAGGTGTACGCTGATTAATTTGTCTTCTCATGTTTCAACTCATAGATCTTATTGCTACGATATAATGATGGAACTTTTAACTGAATTAAAAAAACGTTTGAACGTATCATCGTATCTTACAATTGGCTCGAGGTAGGAGGCATCTTGTTCAATAATGTATGTCGCTTCGTGACATCATCTGTAAGCAATTACATCAATATTAAAATCGGTTTGAATAATTCAATGATTTTAAAGAGGGAATCTGAACGAAAGAGTCGAACGCGTTTTTTTGTATGCTTGCTTGTTTGTACTATTCCGACCAAAAAATAGTCTCAATGATCCGTGATAAAATGTGTTAAAAATCTGTTCTACGATGTTGATTTCAAAAAAGAATTAAAATATATTTGATTGTTCATTTCAAATAGAAACGTCAAACGCCAACATGAAACAGTATGGGATTGAAAAAATAAGTCTGAAAATATTTTAATGCTATCTATCATGCTTACCTCTCTACCAACGACTTCCAATTCGCCAAATAGAATTTCATCAACCCATTGTTCACATGTTTCGTCAGTCTATAAGAAATTTGTTGCTTTCATTTAATATCAACAAAATATTTCAGGTTATTTTATATAAATTTACTCCACAAAATCAAAGAAGTAACATCGGCAAGTTCGCCATCAACAACGTAAGTTGCTCTTGAATCAAGCTGCAAAAAATCATTTCCAGATATTTTTTCTTTTCAAAGTTAAATATAGGATTATTTGGTTGTTAAATAACTGAAAAACATTTACTGATGTGGAAACTCAAAACTTGTTAGAATATACCAGGGTTCCATGGAAGAATATTGTCTTTGGCACAAAGTTCACAGTTTCATTGATTCAAATTTCAAAAATGCAAAGTAAGAAAACAAAACTTAAACGAACAATCTCGAATGTTGATTTCTTCATTGTCTTCCGAGCTCATATCCACCGATACTGATAAACTATCAAGCTGAAATAAAGACGTTAAGAAATTTATAGTCACGAACTATGGCAAAAATGAAATGCAAAAATATTTTTAAATCGTTTTTTTTTCATTTAGTGGGTATTGTTAAAATGTAATATAACTTACCTCTCGATCATCGCATTCCTCGTTGACTTTCAAACTGAAAACTGCAGCTTCCTCCTGCAATTTTCAAAAATATAATAATGATAAATAAATATAAACTTCGATTTATTCGTAATTATAACTGACGTGTTCTAAAGTAATGTCTGACAAAAAAAGTAAACTTGGCATACTTTTAAAGAGTTGCAACTTGATGTCGAAAAACATCGGTCTCATTGAGTTTCACGATGATCCTATAAATATTGAACAAATATTAAAAAAATGATAATTATATCATTTTAGTAGACTTACTCATCATTTGAATAAACGCATACTGAGAAATAAAAAGTATTAGAAAAAAATATAGGTGAAAAGTATCAGATATACGGGTTTACATAAAATCATGGTGCCAGAATTGATGAAAAAAAACACGATAGAAATTAGGTTCGAAAATCAGAGGCCAAAATTTTCTTGTTCCTAAAAATTTTTAATAATCCTGTTGATAATGTATGCTATATAGATTTTTAAGCTTTAAAGTTTGACCAATATTTCCACGATATCGCCTTTTTACCGATAATATTCAGAAAAAAATTTTTCAGCACTTCGGATTCATGTAAGACCAATTTTAACTCACTTTAATATTGAATCGTTGGATGGATTTTCTTCAACGTTATTTTCAACCTGTTCAAGCATCCAGTTCACTCTTTCAGCTACTGCCATTGCAATCTAGTGAATATATTTTTGACAATATGCGTATCATATAAGAGTTTAAAATAAAGCAATGTTTGAGTCAAACAGTTTACCTGAATGTCTGTTGTTTTCTCTTTTTCAATATCAGCAGTTTTGACCTGTAGATATAAAATTGTACTGTTAAACCTAGATTGACAGATACTTTTGCCTACCCAACTAAATTTACTCATTCACTAGTCAGCATGACATTTTTTGCAGCATATATAAAGAGGAATACTATAGCACTAAATTAAAGGACATAATAATGTTGTGTTTCTGCTCAAACCTAATTATTTTGGTGGAAAATTGAGTAAACGAATCACAAAAAAATATCAATAATCATTGCGACAAGTATAATATTTACTACTATATATACGTAAATATAAACTATTCATCAGACCTCAGGTATTCCATCTGTAACATCGTTGGCCACTTCATATTCCGACTCAGGAGAAGCGGTAGGTGTGATTTGTTTTGATTTGGCACAATCCTGTCATATAAATATATGTTATAATTGAATGAGATCATAATTGTAAAAAATTGGGTTAGCAATATATATACAAGTTTGAGTAGATCCCTGTAGTGGCGCTGTAGAACAAATATTAGTTTACATTAGACAGAATGCATTCTGAACCAAAAACATATATATAAGGCCTAATTTTAGCCCTGAAGTGGACCCGAAACCTGGAATAGCCAAATAACATATCGTCGATAAGCTCGAGTTGTTTCATTCATCAACTCAAGATTTGAGATAACTTATTTGTTGTATTCCACCTCACGTCCGACCACATTTAAACTTTGAAGAATAAACTAGCAAACCCTAAACATCGATTAGTCAAATTTATCTCTAACCTCTGATTCTTTGTTAAAATTCCAGTCCGATGGAAAAGGAGGTGGTGTGTTTCCCGGCAGGCGGAAAAATGGATTCGGCTGAAACGAAGAAAAAATATATATGTGTAATTTTTTATTACCTGTGGGCCGACACGCCATAAAACACCTTGCTAAACAATTCTCAAGTGGAGTTATGAGAGAATTTTTTAACTAGGCTACCCCATGTTTATATATCGATATTCTAGCTATAACTTACCCTATTCCAATCTGAAAAGAAACTTGGTCTTTGCTTGGCCTGAAATTATAAAGTAATCATGTAATGAAGGCATGAATTGAAATGATATAACTTATTATATAAAAAATAATTACTTCGGAAGGAGGTAATAGAGCCAGCATGTAGTCGGGCGACTGACTTCCATCTGAATCCTGTAAATTGAAACGTAAGTATTCTGTCTTAATAGTGTCACGGTCAATAATAATTTGAAAGTTTTATCATTAAACATCTTACCAATGACCTGATTTTAGCATATTCTATGTCCATCTGAAAAAAAAAAAAAAATCAAATTTCAGTAAGATGTTATTGTACGCAGTGCGTCCAAGTAACAATAGTTAACATAAACTCACTCTTTCCATGTAATCGAGACTATTTCGTTCCCTCAATATTTTTTCAAACGGATGTGGAGGAGTTGGTTCTCGACTAAGATCCTGAAGAGAAATAATGAATAATATAATCAGAGGTGTATGAGCATAAAGTAATTATACGACAAAGTAAGAAGTCCACGATTCTCATTGCCAGTAGGCTAATATTTAAAACAACAATAAATGCGCCGAAATGAGTTGTTATTTAAACTTATCTTGGGTCGTTGCATGTATTAGATGGCACGATATAGGAATTGGCGTTTTATCCTCGTTTCATGAATTCTAGCAATATATATAGTGAAAGATTCAATGCTTTTCTAAAACCGCCAACGCAATTCTAATTGTATATATATTGGCCTGGAAAATTTACGCTCAAGTCACAAGTTATGATTTATACCTCGTCTGAAAACGACGGTGATAGCTGATACCACAGAGATGTTGCTTTCTCCTTTTTATTGTTTCTAATGCAATGTCCTGAACAACATGCATCTTGGACTAGTCCAACAGGCTGGCTGCATACGGAACGGCTTATCGTGACATCTGGTGCCTGTGGTGTCAACTGATAAAACAAAAATAAAGAACGTTTTCTTATCAACTTTAATCCCGACATTGAATAGCTTTGGCCTTTATTTTGTTTTTGGTCTTCACGTACACAATGAAGTAATACACGTAAATTATATATAAATATGAACGTGATTGGATATTCATCAGAATGAATAGTAGGCTTAGGTCCTATGTTTTATGGACGCTTGGCTAGAGGCTTTTTGGTAAAAAGCGGCAAATTCTTCACGGAAAGTGTAAACTACCTGGATTGTAGATGTGTATTTTCTTATCGTTTGATCTTCTTCAAAACTCTCCGTTTCTCTCTCTTGACTTTGCATGCATACACACATCTGAAAATTATACGAGTTTGAAATTTCTCTATTTTTCTGTTTATAAAAATATCCACCAGAGACCAATCGATGACAAAATATTGTTACTTCAGTTCTGACCGGATGAGGTAGTAGAGATGTGGTGTTAGAATAAAATAAAAAAAATCTGTGACCGTGACCACAGCTTGATAAAACTTTTGACCCGAAAACAGTTATCAAAAAGTGACCTATTGTATTTAGAGACAACAAATTTAAAAAACACTTGACTTGTACTGCATTGTAACCTATTTCTAAAACTGCAGTAATCAGATTCATTTGTCAAACAAATGCGAGTAAGATGCTACGACACTGATAGTTCGTGACTCAATAACAGAGATACGAACCTTGCTAGACTGTTTTCTTGCCCAGTCACGAATGATATTCAAGATTGTAGGAGGCAACTCTCCTTTGGATGGATCCTGGAAGGGCAATGCATGTAATAACCTTTTTTAATTATATCGAAGGGCAGATCTCAAAAAAGTATGAAGGATTTGTGCTGTAGGGATCCTGGTCATATTATTAAGACGTCAGCTAAGCGTTTTCATAAGACAATTAGGGAAGGCTAGTGTTTGCATTTATTATCCAATTTTCTCGGAATTGCAATCGAAGTCAAAACTTTTTTCAGTCCAGAGTCGGGGGCCGAAGACAAGTTTGAGCCTGAGTCGTTTATTAAAATGTTAAGAGTCTGGTGCGTATTTCTCTAACTATGCGGAATTTCTTTTCTACAAGCAAAAGAATTCTACGGTAAATTCTATCCCAACATCACTGTGTTGCGAAAATTTAAAATGGGGGGAAAATAAGTCCATCTATTTGTTTTGTCTTGTGTTAGCTATATCTATATTATCTGGCCGGTGTAGACGCCCTACTTATGGTTGAACGACATTTCAAGGCTTGACTAAAATCCGTCAATTTATATATATGATTACACCAACTATTATCAGATTTCGAGGATTGGTTAGGGTTTTGTACACAAGCTACAGTAATTTAGACATTAACCGCGAACAAATAAATTATGACGTCATAGATCTGTACAAAAGCAAATGCATTTCATTCATGGAAAAGCTCAATCTTGTATGCTGAAATCTCGCCATTTTATCCTGCTTCTACTAAGAAGAATATCAACCCTTTTGTCAATATAATATTTATATCTGTGTTAAGTTATACCATTGAAATATTTTGTCCAACCTTTTCGAGCTCCTCCTTTTGCCTCCTGCAAAAAAGTTTGGCACATTTTTTAAAAGCCTTGACTGCTTTGTTTATAGATTTCTGCCATCCCACTTGTCGTCTGAATACTCGAATTCTTCTTTTTCCTTGCCCCATTTTCTACGAAGAAATAGGAATATTGAATAGACAACGAATTCCAAAAACTATTTCAGAAACTGCGAAAATATATCGAGCAACTTACTATAGGTATAGAAATTAGAATGAAATAAAATTTTCATAAGTATAACGAGTTGATAAAAGTCCATTGTTTGCGAACATTTGAAACCCTTAGTGACGTCATAATACATATCCGTTACCAGCTATCAACACGTCAGATGGTCACAATTTATGGTGAGATAGGGTTCAGGGATAAAACATCATCTTTCGATCGTACATAAGTTCAGGTTTGTTATGGAAAAAGCTAATTTTAAGGTTAGTTCAACCAAACGCATGGAATGGAAACGTATGCCTTCTCGCGTTGTTCGAATGGTCTTTATGGCTCTCCGCTAAATTGTCAACTGCATTCTTAAGTCGTCAAAGCCGGAATAAAGAAATTTACTGTCACATGACCAAAGCATTTTGCTAACCCCTTCCCTGTGAGAAATAAAAAATCATCTGTATCGTACAGGAAACGCATTTTAGACCTTCAAGATTCTCGAAAACCCACGTTTTCCGGCCCCAGCCAGACACGATAGCGGTTGACAAATTTCAACCCACCCCCATTCGAAAATTCCTGGATACGTCCCTGAATTACGCGGCCTAATCATATGGAGCACGACGGTTTGCGAGCGCATTCAGTATTGGGGATGAAAAAGCACTGATATGGTCGGAAAACAGCGTGTCAGTGAGCCTAGCCAATGTGCGTAGTGAATAGTGGGTGCAGGTAGGTAATTTTGCAAAATTGCACTGATTTTTTCCGTCTTTAAGAAAGCAATTTTTTTGCTTTATCGAATATTTGTGAACTGTTATGCTAATTATTATACCCTATTGAATTTTATTTTTGGATCTTCCCAAGTTTAAATACGATATCGTGGATGTTTTAGTCATGATTGTCGGACAAGGAAAACAGCATATTCATTCGAATGACTACATTTATCATCGTACCACCCACTCCTTTCAAAACTTTGATTCACATACCTCAGGCAACAACAGACAATTCTTTCAAAATTAAATAATATTTAAATATTATACAGGCTTAATTCTTTGCTGTGCAGACGTCAATCATGCCCGATTTCGCCCCAAAACTCACATCGCGCATTTTCCAAATCAAGCAGTAAAAAGGCGCGTATACTCTCTCTCATGATATACAATGCCGATATGTAAAAGTCAGTTAGTCATTGTTCCGATGGACAGAAAGGAAGCAGGGTATATGGAACGCCAATCGATAGTTTTTACAATATAACTTTTGAAATAGATTTGACGTAAATCTGTATATATTGCCAAACATAGCGCATATTCAAATAATTTAATGAAAACTATACATGTATCATAGTTTAAATAAACTATGTAACTAAATTTACTGAAAAATTGAAAAGTATCTTTTTACTTTGATAATGAACGTCTAATGCGACAAACAGCATGTTCCACCTTTTTTTTGTTGTTTCGCTATTTTCTTACGTCACCTAGACATGTGATTCCTAATAACGAATGAAAAAGTCTTCATTTTGCGGTCTCCTCCATCCTCTTTGTTTCTTTATTATAATCACACTTTTTACTTGCCACGTCAAAATTTGTCTGCGCTCGGGCGGTCTTTTCAAATTTGACGTCGTCAGGTGAGCACTGATTTTATGTTTGTGAAATTTTAGATTTAGATTTAAATTAGATTTAGATTGTTTGCTGTCCAAGATATTATATAAAATAATAAATAACGTTAGACTAGACTAATCAACAACTTATAAAGTAATGTCTGAAGATGTCGCTTTATTCTGACAAACTGAGAAATGCTCGGAAAAAAGATGAAGAAGAAAGATCCACTTTAGATAGGTCTAAATGTATGGCCTTGAAATTTGGTGATGACAAGATTGTTAGAAGAGAAGATGTATGGGATTTATTCAGAAAAGTTGGTATTGTGTTTGAATCAGTGGATGGATTCTTGATGACATCTAAAACCACAGTTGATATAACATACAAATCCAGAACAACTGCGATAGATGTCGATAAGAAATTGTGGGAGATGAAAAGAATAGGGGCAGTAAACCTACCACTACATAAGCTTTATGTTCCCGAAAATGTTGCTGTTTTTATACATCATGTACCAATCCCATTGAAGGAAATTGAAATAAAAGAACACTTTGAAAACAACCATGGAAAAATAGGAGAAGTTCTCCCATTAAAAGACAGGTTCAACATAAAAAATGGTATTCGTAGATTTTTTATAAGAAAAGATGATATTATGGAAAATCCCATCAAGAGTTATGTCAAAATAAAGGGACATTCTCTTTTCGTTAAATATTGGGCACAAAAACCAACTTGTCGCATTTGTGGCAAAACTGGTCATTTGAAGAATGCATGTGAGGAATTCATTCCAAAATTTGTAAAATACAAAGATACAGGACAAAAATTATCAAGTATAGAAAATGTAAGAGATGACGAAACCATATTAGCACCCAGACAAGAAAAAGAAACTACACCCAGACAAGAAAAAGAAACTATTGATATAGAACCAGTAAAAGATGCTAGTAATAGTATCAATGAAGAGAGTCAAACAAAAGGAACCCCAAAACAAAGCACACCAGCAAATGCAGAAGAATGTACAACTGTATCAAGTTTACAACCTGAAATGTTTGGCAACATCTCAGACATCAGTGAAGATAATGAAATTAATGGAAAAGGGAATGAAGAACAGATGCACTCTGAGAATTCGACAAGCAAATCTAATTCATCAGAGAAAACTATATTATATGTTTTGGGACGAGACAAACAACAGCAAGAAAATCTAACACAAAAAATATCTACTAACACTGATTCAAATGAAAGATCACCACCAAGAAAGAAAAAAACGGGGAGAAAACAAAGAACTATGACCATAAAAGAGGCAAATGAATATCTTCAGAGTATGAGCGAATAACACTTGTAATTCTTCTCATATTACCAAATCAAAAAACAAATAAGAAATAAAAAAACTCTTATAATGGTGCTGTATTTAACAATATTAACAATTAATGGAATAAGAGACAACCAAAAACGAAAAGATGTTTTTCATGAATTAACCAAGCAAAAAGCAGATGTGATATTTTTACAAGAAACGCACTGCACACCAGACGTTGAATTAAAATGGCGCCGGGAGTGTAAATGGGGTACAAGTTTATGGAATAGCGGGAACTCAAACTCTAGGGGTGTCGCTATATTACTTAAATCAAAACTGAACAATTTTTCATTTAGTAATATTTCTTTTGACAATAATGGAAGAGTAGTGACTGCTAATATAAACATCCATGGAGAAATAATTCATTTTGTTAATATTTATGCCCCCTGCAGAACAAGCATTATAACACAAGAAAACTTTTATAACAACAGCTACAGATTCATACATTCACAGTATCCTGTTATTTTGGGAGGTGACATGAACTGTGTTCATGATGTTGACCGTGACCGTGATAGATCGGAAAGCACCAAACGAGCTAAAAAGGAATACATTTCTGAAGCGTTAAATGAACTTATAGACACCTTTAATTTGATAGATTCTGTGGAATATTTTCCAAATAACAATACTTTTTACACATGGCGAAACAACACCGTACAAGCAAGGTTAGATCGTATCTACTGCTCGCAAAACTTGTGTTCAGTAACAAATTTATACTGTTGTCCAACTTATATTTCTGATCATGATATGTATTCGGTTGATATTGAAGTTTACACCAACTTGGAAGAAAAAGGGAGCGGATTCTGGAAAAACAATGTATCAGTTTATAATAATGAAATATATATTGAAGAACTTAAACATAAATGGAATAATTGGTGCACATTGAAAGTATTATTTAATACAAAGACTCAATGGTGGACCGAAACAAAGAAAAAAATAAAAGATTTAACTATCAAACATTCTGTTAAACAAGCAAAAGATGAAAAAGCACAATATCGCAAAGAAATGAAACAGATGGAAGAACTAAAAGAAAGATTAGACAGAGGAGAAAAAGTTCTAACTTTTTTCAATAAAACAAAAAGAGAAGTACTAAAAAAACAAAAGCAGAAGAATAGTAAAATTAGATTTCAAAATTTGGCCCATTTCTATGACACGTATGAAAAATGTAACAAGGCATTCTTTAAAAAATTGAGAAAAAAACATGAAGAATGTTACATTAAAAAATTAAGAAACACAGAAGATGTGGTACAAGAAAAATTGGTGGAAAAGATAGAAACAATAGTTAAAGAATTCTACCAGAAACTATACAAAAAACAAAATAACAACATGAAAACTCAAAAAGATTTTGTGGAAGGTATTCCAGACTCATTAAAACTAAAAGAGGATGATGCAGAAACATTACAGAGACCGATTATCTTTGCGGAAGTTCAAGGAACAATCAAATCTTTTAAAAAAGAAAAAACTCCGGGACCAGACGGCATAAGTGTCGAATTTTATATAAAATGTTGGAATATATTTGGAAATGATTTTTTTGAAGTTTTAGAAGAAGTGTATGAAAAAGGCCTCATTACAAAAGATATGAAAAATGGCTATACAACACTAATTCATAAGAAAGGTGAGATGGATCAAATAAAAAATTACAGACCTATATCATTGCTGAACACCGACTATAAGATACTTACAAAATTACTAGCGAATAGACTAAAACGACTACTACCTGAAATAATAGATAAACATCAAACCGCTGTTCCAGGAAGGAGAATATCAGATACACTCATCTTATTGAGAGATATATGTATACAGGAGGAGAACAAATTTGGAGAATCTTCTCTACTTTCATTGAATTTAAACAAAGCCTTTGACAGCGTGGACCTGAAATATCTTTTTTTGTGTACTACATAAATTTGGATTCAAAGAAAAATTTATAAATATACTTCGAACTTTGTATACCGAATCAGAAACTCGGGTGTTGATAAATGGATATTTAAGTCAAGCAGTTACATTAGAAAGAGGAGTTCGCCAAGGTGATCCACTA